CGCGTACCTGAAGCTGCCCTCCTCCCTTGCGAGATCCGCCGCCGCCTTGGCGCTCGCGCGCCTGCTAGCCTGCGCCTCGTACCTGCTCGCTGCGGTGCCGTGCGTGCACGCGATCGTCTCGCCGCCCACGATGCGCACGAAGCGGCCCGGCCGCATCTCGTCGCTCTTGTGCCCAACCTTGAAGTCGGCGAGGCTCATTGGCACGGCCACGCTGCCGTCGGTCGGGAAGAAGGTGCCACGCAGCTGCTCATCGCAGACTCGCTCCCTGCCGCCAAGGAAATGACTCATGTAGTCGCTTCCGTATGCGCCACGCAGCCCTGCATGCCCACGCCGCAACGATTCGACCCACGCGCTGTACTCGATGCGCAAGTGGTCGATGATAACCGTGTTGAGCGCGATAGCCTTCCCGACGTACCATTTGAGCAGATCGCGCCGCGCCCCTGCGCACTGCTCGTAGTCGAACTCGCCCGGCGGGCGCGCCTCCTCCCACTCGTCCTGCGTATCGCCGTTGTCGCCGTCGCCGTCGTCAGCCTCATCGGCCTCTGCCGTGCTCACGCTCACGCCGGCGCGAAGGCTGTCCATGACAGCCTCCTTCACTGAAGACGCCGCTGGCAACGCAAAGGCGCCTGCGAGCGCCTTGGCGGCCAAATACCTGCGGTACCGCCCAAGCTCACCCGGCAGCCGCTCGGCAAGCAAGGCCACCCTCGCCCAGGCCAGCTCCAAATGCAAGTCGCCCTCGCCCTCGCCGTCGCCGGCGCGCGGCGCACCTATCATAGACGCGTGCTGCTCGAGCGCGCTGCAGCAAGCCACCCTCGCTGCCTCGCTCAGCCCGTGCGGGCACTCGAAGAAATGAAAAAGGTCGCACCTGCACTCCCGACGACAAACCGGGCACCTGCACAGCGGCAGAGTCTCGCCCGCGACTCTCGCGCTGTCGTCGATGCCATCGCCCAGCTCGGGCAACGCGCTCTGCGTGAAGTTGCGCAGTAAGTGCCGCATGCCCACACGCGTGAGCTCGAGCGGCCCGCCGAAACCGCCTCCCCTCTGCGTAGAGAGCGGGGTCTGAATGCGCCGGTCGAAGATCTGCATGCCCTTGGTCACGTCGAGCCCCACCCCGACGTAGTCAAAGAACGGGGCAGCGTACAACCGTCCCTCGATGAGCTCAGCCGATAGCTCGCCGTCGGCGACGCTGCGCAGCTCGTGTCTCGCTTGCTCGAAAAGACCCTTGGCCTGCTTGCTCGCGTCGCTGTCCAAAAGCTGCTCGCCGAGTTGGGCGTGCCGCGAGCACCTGGGCAGAAAGACGATCCCGTCGATCTCGTCGCGCGCCTCGCGACCCTGCCGTGAGGCGCGAAACACCTTGACGTCGTTCTCGACGAGCTTGTGCAGCGCGCAAGTGTCGCTCAGCTCGCGAATCTCCTTAGAAGTCCGCGCGTCGAGCTCCGCTGATGAGCTCGCCATCCCGCACGCGCTCCGCGGTAGCGACGCGCCCGGTCCACGCCACGACTTGCCGTCGCCGCCGACCTTACACAAAAAGGCCAAGGGGCGACGCACGACGAGAGGCGGCTCGCCGTCGCAGTCCAAAAGCCGCGCGGCATTGGCGATCGCGTCAGCCCAGACGTTCGGGATGAAGCCGCAATGAGAGCTCAACCGTAGAGTGTGGACCTCGGCGCCGAGCGTCCTGAGCCAGATCCGTAACAGGATCGCCTCCTCCATGCGCAGGCCGTACGTCTCGCCGCGCAGCCACTTGATGTCGCCCCTGCGCCACGCCCGCTGAAAGAAGCTGGCGATGATCTCGCTGTCGATAATGATGAGCAGATCGCGCGCCTCTCTCGGGCCGCTCGTGTCGGCCTCGCCATCGCGGGCCGACATAGCATCAAGCTCGTCCTCACCCTCGTCAGCGCTCGCGGCCGGGCCGATGGCGTACTCGCAGTCGTGCAGCAGCCGCCGCAAGACCTCGTGGACCGAGATGCCGGTCAGCAAGGCCACGTGACGACGAAGCGCGAGTATGAGGCCGTCGAGCTCCGCCTGATTGTTATCGAACTCGGCCGGCAGCCGCCTGCCCTCAGCCACCGGCACGGCGCTCCCAGGAGCCTGCAGCCCGTAAAAGACGCCGCTAGCCACCTGCGGCGGCTCGTAAGGCGCTCGCAATTTGCGCTGCACGCGCTCAGCATCGCTTGCCAGCTCGTACCGCAGCGCGTCGCGCGCACTGAGCGCCTTCGCCTTGCAGTAAGCGCCATCAGTAGCCGCCACGAGCTTGAAGCCGCCCCGGCCGCGCTGCTTGCAGACCATCTCGATCTTGCCGATCTCGCGCAGCAGCGCCAGATTGAGATCGCTCGCGATGAGCGCAGCCTCATCGCGCGCAATACGAATCTGCAGCAGCCCGCCGTACGCGTTCACGCACGTCAGGCCCTCTGGCGAACGTTCGGCCTCATACGCTCGCGAGAAACTGCGCGTGACAGCTGACGCGAACGCCGCGGGCGCGCGTTCGAATTCAGCGACCTTGTGATTGGGACCGCGCCACCCGCTCCAAAGACTGCCGTTATCCTTGGCAGCCTTCCATGCCACCCCGTCGAAAGCGACCTGCACGTCAGACTCAGGCACCGCGCCACCGTCGGCGTAAGTCGGTACGGGCATCGCCCGAACGGCGCCCATACGCTCCTCGACTGTGTGAGCCTGTCGCAGCGCGCCCGTGCACGTGATCGTCCACGCAGTCGAGTACTCCTCGACTTCGTGCCTCCTCGCCTCATCAGCGATCCGATCCTCGCGAAGATTGACCTCCTTGGCGCTCACGCCTTTAGCTCTCAGCGCCGCGTAGTCCAGCAGCAGGACGTCAGTGAGCTCGACACGAGCTTGCGCCGCGTCGCGATTGAGCCCTGCCGCTCGACTGGCCTTGGCGAGCAGCTCGGCCGCGCCTTGCGGCCCTCGAAGCCGCGTCAGGAAGCGGTTGAAAGTGCTCGGCTCCCACCTCGATGCGTCAGCCTCGTCCATCCACGCGGTCACCTCATCGATCTCGATGGGCTCGCCAGGGCTGCACACAGTCGTGGCGGCGTCGCGCCTCGCCGCGCCCTCCAGCACTTGCGCCCGGGTGAGCCATACTGCGTCGCGCAGCCGAGCGCCGCAGAAGATCACCTCATAGGAGCGCTCGTCGGGCCGGCCGCCCTCTGCGTCCTTGCACCACATAATCCCCACGATACGAGAGAACATGCGCAGCGCACTCCGTCTCCCCACGTTGATCCGCTCAATAAGCGCGATCTCGCCTCCCATCGGCGCGCCGTGCTCTCTCCAGTCGTCGAGCGCGACCTTTGCGCGATCGTTGCCGGCGACTTCACGCAGCAGCCGTCGGACATGCGCTCTGTCCACGTCGCTCCACGCCCAACCGGGCCTCGCATAGATGACCTCGATCCGTTCAGCGCTGAGCAGCTCGCCGCCACCAGCGTGTAGCTCATCGAGGCTGCTGATGCCCAGCCCGTGCAGGCGTAGCGAGGGCGTCACGCCGAGCAGCTCGATGAGGCGCACTTTGCGACCTGGCAACACTCCTCGCTCGATCGCGCGTTGCTTGTCCAGCCGGCACTCGTCAACGCCCGTGCCGCGCCACCGCAGTCCCAGCCGTGCCATATGCAGCGCTACGCCCTCCATCGGGACCTCGCTCCTGAAACAAGGTAGCCATCGCTCGTTGATGATGAAGTCGAAGACGGTCGGCGCCTCCGCCGACGGCCCGTCCCAGCCCAGGCTCGCCACGAAGACCGTCTGCAAGGAGAGCCGAACTGCACGCGCGGGCTCGCCGTGTCGGCCACCCCAGGCGCGCGCCATCTCGTCGAGCAGCCCGGCCGCCATCGTCGACCGCCCCGGTCGCAGCCCGAGGCCTCCATACTTGCCTGCGACGTAAGCACCCACGATCTTGGAGTGCCTGGCGCGATTGCCGTGGTTGAAGAGCAGCTTAGTCGCCTTGATGTCGAGCGCCTTCGACGCGACCTCCGTGAAAGGAATCGTCCTCGCCGGGAAGATGAAAACGCCCTGTACGACCGTATTCACCGCCTGCGCGAGCTGGTCGCAGTACCCGCCGCCAAGATTGTTGATCATGGTGATGATTGCGCTGGCCCGCGCGCGATACGACTCCTCCACTTTGGTCACGTCGAGCTCAGGGTCGAAGTCAATGCCCAGGTATCGATAGGTGATTGCACGCGCGAGCTCGATGTCCTCTCGTGAGCTACCCAACGGCACCTTGAACTTGTTTCCGTTGCCACGCACGAACTCGTTGCGCGACTTGTCCCATGTCCACGACAGCGACGCCGACTTGGACGCCTCGACCGTGTCGTGCCCGACCTTGAGCCCCAGGATCTCCTCCGACAGCAAGATCATGATGTCCACCGCCGTCTGGATGATGCCCTCGACGGCGTCAGCAAGTGCGCCGTCGTCGGCATACCACAGCTGCAGCGCAGCGACACGCAGCTCGCGCCGATCCGGCAGTGGGCTGCCCGGCACGTAGGTCTCGAGTGCGCGCTGTACGAGCGCCGCCACAGGCAGCGAGAACAACGGCGATTCGACGCCGCCGATGGGCTCGCCTCTCAGCATCGGGGCCAGCTCAGTGGGACCGCCCGCCGTCTTGAACGCTCCCATCACTTGATCTTGGACTTCTCGAAGAATCTGCATCGAGACTGTGCTCACGCCCAGCTCATGCAGGATGAAGGCGACAAGCTGCCTCGAGATCGACGGAAAAAAGACGGAATAGTCCTGAAAGTAGACGTGTAGTGGCTGCCGCAGCCGCATGTGCAGCTCAAGCCGCGCGCGCAGTGCCGCCGACTGCTCGGGACAGCCTCGCCCGGCCTCGAAGCCGGCGTTGCACCATGGTCGCGTGCGCGCAAAAACCTCAGCGCACTCGGGCAGGATGGCGCCGACCACGAGCTTCCACAGATGCGACTGGATCCAAATCTCCCTCCAGCCGCTGAGCTTGCAACGATCTTTGCCCGGCTTCGGGATCAACGTCGCGTGCCAGGTAGTCCAGCTCGTCGGGAATGAAAAGACCGCCACCTCCTCCACGCACGCGTCAGCGAAGAGCTTGGCGAGCTCAAGCCCGCCCTGCTTGACGAGCACCAAGTTGAACTCGTCCAACCCGGTGGCGAGCTTCTCTTTGACCAGCTTGGTCAACTCGAGGACGCGCTCGGGCGTGAGCAGCCGTTGCAGCAGCGCCCGTGCTCGCTGGTCGGTGCACCGGTCGCCGCTCTCGTTGAACTCGAGCTGGTACTCGCCGGTCCAATAGTCGAAGGCAGACGCCTTATCGCCGTCAGAAGCACCCGTGGCGCCGATGACGCTGCGCAGTTCCTCATGCCACGCGTCGCGCTCGCGAGCGCGCTCCCTTGCTGAATCGGCCTCCGTGGCGTGCCCAGCGCCACGCGATCCCTCGTGCGTCGCCTCGTCGGCCCGCTGACCGCTGCTCTCCTCGTCACGCGTGACGTGATGCTGCGCCGCCGTGCCCGCCTCGACAAAGCCTGACACATCGCCCTTTTGAGCGACAGCATCAGCGACGACCTTCGCCAATAGCGCATCAGCATCGGCCGCGCCTCCGCCCTCCTGCACGACGCCCTCGCCACACTGCTCGCAAGCCGCCGCGCCGCCGGCATCGCGCGCATCGGCAGCCTGCTTGGATCTCAAGGCACGCTTCGCACGGATCAGCGTGTTGCACTTTTCCGCGATGCACGCGAGATGGCACCGCTTCGGCGCGCACCCGCACTCGAGCACGAGGCGCTTGTCGAGCTCGACGACGATCTCGACGAGCGACTCGATCTCGGCCTCGATGTCGGCGCTGCAGATCCGCCCGTGACCCGGCGCGACGCACTCGATTGGGAAACACTTGGCCACCGCGATCGCGTACGCATCACCGCCCGTCTCAAGCCACTCTCGATAGCACTCGCACGAGAGATCTCGCAAGTTCTCGTCGCGCCCGTCGAGACCCATCCGAAATGGACTGCCCAGAATGCCCTTCCTGCTGCCGTCGTACCGTACCCTGCCGTCGTGCGCCTCGTCAGGAAACCTCGCGTTCCCAACGACGACGAAGTCGCCAGCCGGCGGCCGCACACAGGCCTCAACGCGCTCTCGGTTTCGGGCGATGCGCGGCTGCCGACCCAGCCGGCACTCGGCGTCCTCGACGACCTGAAACGCCGCGCCGCTGCCCTGCGCCGTGCTGCCTCCTCTGCGCTCGCCGCGCTCGATACGGCACAGGTCCATAAGGTGACCAGCCGATTCGAGACAGACGAGATTTGGCGTGTTGCCCGAGCGCACCTTGGCGGCGACGGCCTTATCGCGGGCCACGCCAGTGAGCAGCAGCCCGGTCGCCTCGTCTTCGAGAGCTACCAGCGTCCCGCCCGGGCCCTTGTCCTTGGAGGACATCAGCCCACGTCGCTCAGCTCGAATCACCTCAGCAGCGGCTCGCGCGTACCCCAGCTCTCTGGCAGCCAAGATCGTGAGTTGCTCATTGACATAGTCGACGCGAGTAGTCAGCCGATGCTCTTCGACCTCCCTGACGCACTCGTCGACGCGTCTCCGTATGAGCACAAGCTCGCGCGCCTTGCGTTCGCCTGGCGCGTGCGGCGCTGCGTCGCGGAGGAAAAACTGCTTGAGCTCGGGCGTCAGCGCGCTCTCACGCGTCCTCCAGCGACCCTTGATCTTGCCGCAGTAGCCGAAGACGATGTCGGTGATCTTCAGATCCTCGACCTCCTTCTCGATCGCGAGGTACTTGTCCAGCTTCCGCCGCAACACTTCGCCGGCCGACTGCTTGCGCCCTTTGGCCGCCTGCGGCGCCGCGATGACTTCGCGCGCCACAAGCATGCACGCCTGCATCAGATGCTCGACGCACGTGCCGTTCGTCGCCGCGTAGCGCGCCGCCGCCTCGTCGCGCGCCAGCGCTCTGCTGCGCTCGTCAATGGGCCGCCCTTGGCCAACGAGCTGCTGCATCGCCTCGGCGCACGCGCCCTCGCGCCCCGCCACCCAGTCCTTCATGGCCGACTCGCTCGCGCTCGCCGCCCTTTCCTTGTACGCGTCCCAACCAATGAGCTCGTCAGCATCACCGTCGCCCTCTAACACCTCCTCGAGGTCAGAGTCGTCCACGCCCAACTCGGCATCGTCGACGAGCCCGCCCGTGCCATCCTCAAAACGATCCGGCAGCGCGTTGGCCATCGTGACCAGGCGCTTCTTCAGCTTGGCCCCGTCGCGCTTGTCGCTGCCCGTCTTGCTCATCGTCTTGGGCTTGCTCGACACCCTCGGCATCTTGCTGAGCTTCGGTTTGCGATTCGCGCTCGTGACAATCTCCTCGGTGTCGGTCGTAATGATCGCAAAGCCCAGCGCCCTGTGATACTGCTTGTTTGGCTCCGATCCGACCTTGACCGTGAAGGTCTCGCCGCCTCCGACGCGTCCATCGCAGCCGCCCTCGAGAACGTGGTCGATGACGTGCTTGCTCGTGACGGCCTCGACGAGATTGCCCTCCGCGTCCTTCGAGGCCGCGCTCACCACGTGCAGGTGCGTGTACTCCTCGCGCCCGACCCTCGTGGGCTGATCAAATTCGAGGAAGCTTGTGCCGTGCATGAGCTTGAACAAATAGGTCTCGCCCGGCCTCTTCACCACGCCGCCCTTGCTCAGGTTGATCTTGTGCGCCTTCAGCAGCCGAGTCGCCGTCTCCGCGTTCAAGTCGCCCGCAATCACGTACGCGCCGCACACTGTGAGCAGCGCCTCCTCGAGCTTGCCCCAAGCCTTGTCGTGCACTTCGCGTGGGAGATTGGCTTGAGGCATGTAGCATGCGAAAAGCGTCAAATTCGTAGAGTCGTCGACCATTCGGAACTCGATCTGCAGCACGCGTCCAGGTACGACTATCTGCACGTCAAGCTTTTTGAAGACTGTCGGATCGAAAGCGACCAGTACGCCCGCCCATTCACCGCGCGCCGCCGGCGCCTGCACGACGCACGGCACATATTCAGGCGCGCCGCCACTGCGCCCCTTGGCGAGATCCTGCCAGCCCAGTCGCGTGCCGAGGTAATCGGCCACGTCATCGACCGCGCGGCCGTGCAAGTGCGTCTCGGACAACACGAGCAGGTGCGCGTCCTTGGACTTCACTTGGTCAATGATCGCCTCGAGCGCGTCACAGCCCTTGAAGCGGAGCGCTGAACCCCGCCCCACGTCGCCGCCTCCGTCCTCCTCGTCCTCGCGCTCGATCGCCGCAGCCAGCTCGCGATCGCGCACGTCGGCCTGCGCTCCTGCGCCGCTCGCCCTCCGTTTGCCTTGCATAGCACGCTCACGGTCGCCCACTCGGCGATCGGCCCTCGCGTCGATGACGTGCACGCCGCCGGGGTTCCAAACGAGGCAAGCGCGCCTTCGCTGCACCTCGATCACTGCGCGCGGCGCCGTAGCCGATGTAGGCACGATGCCCTCCGCCTTCGTCTTGGCCTCACGCCGCAGCCGCTCGAGCAGGAATTTGGCGTCGCTGAGCGCCACCTCCATCTTGTACGCCTTAGCCTGTCTGGCCATCCAACATGCGCCCGGAGGCAGCCGCGGTAGAGCGGGCTGCTGCTTGGCCGCGCGCGCGGCGAGCACCTCGGCGAACTTGTACTTGGACTTGACGATGAAAGAGGCCGCGTCACGCAGCCACCAGTCGAGCACGGCCGCAGAGATCGTACCATCGGAACGCAGCTGCTCGAGCTGCAGTGGCAGCTTCATCGCTTCGCGCAGCAGCTCATCGCCGAGCGCCTTGCCCGTGCACCCGATGATCTGCCCGAGTGTCATCGGCGCTTGCACCGAAACGCACACGTCAGTCTCGCAAAGATCCGCGAGCGCGTCGGCAATCATCTGCCAGGGCAGCACACGTTTGAAACGTGCGAGTGCCGCTGAGGCTGCCAGGCCGTCGACAACGTCAGACCAGCCGATGGAGTGCAAAAAATGCGCCACGAGCCATTGCGCCGCTGAGCAAGAGCCGCAAAGGGCAGTGCGCCATTCCCACATGGTCGGCAGGCACGCTGTGGCGAAACCGGCCGCCGCGTACGCGTAGGCCTGAAGGACGCGATGCAGCGCGGTCGCGCGCGCGGCGCGCCCGTCGTAGACGATCAGCGTTACGGCATTTCCTGCATCGCCGGTGGCGCCAACCGCGGCGATAGTGTCGCTGGGTAATCGGTTAAGCGCAACGCCAAGCGCGGGCCGGGGCGGCGGCACGACCGCCTTGAGCCCAACAAAGGCGAGCATTCGTCCGAGAGTGACGTTGTGCTGTTTGAGCGCCGGCCGATCCCGCTCTCTCGCCGCAGCCGTTTTGAGCGCGTCAGCGCTCCATTCGGCAACATACGGATAGTCGTCGAGCGACCAACGAGCGCCGATGACGATGAACTCGACGAAAGCCTCGACCTCGCCTGCACCAACGAAGAAGAGGCCCCGGATGACAGCCAGCCGCCAGGCCTCGTGCGGTAGCTGCCCTTCGAGCAGCTCGAGCTTGCAGTAGACGCGCATCCCGATCTCGGCTTGCGTCTCGTGCGATGACCCGACCCGCGCTGCGGCTGCGCTTCGAGTGCGGTCCTCGGCCGTCACCGCAGCGGCCACCATGCTCGCGACCGCCGCCGCCGCGTCGCGCTCTTGGGCAGCCTTGTCGAAGGCCGACCCAGCATGAAGCCCGCCGATCGCGACGGCAGCAGCCCGTGCACTGCTCGCGGTACACTCACCGAGCGTGCGCACCGCCGCAGCCACCTTGCGCTTCAGGCCCGCGACGGCCGAAACTGACACCACCTCGGGATCATCGCGCGACCGCTCGCTCGCGGCGGCAGCCGCGCTGTGAGCACCGTTAGCCTGACGTGACGTAGCAGCAGCCGCTGCCACAACCACTGCCGCTGCGCAGCCGACAGCGGCGCGATTGACGGCCTGTCGCTCATGAAACAGCGCTAGCAGCGCGTCGTAATCGTCGAGAGCGCCGTCATGAACACCTAGGGCCGATAGCGCCTTCAAGAGCCCCGCGTTGAGAAGATCGCGCGGCCTCGTCAGCTTGTCGGCACCGTCAAGCTGCCGGATTGCGAAGGCGAGCGTCTTCTCGACGACGTCAGTCTTGTTGACGTTGCCGCCAGCCACCGTAATGCGATGCGTCGGCAGGGGCGGCGGCGGAAGCGCCGCCTCTCCGGCAAAGCGCGCCCGTCTGGCATCCGCGTGCCGCGGTATGCACCGCGCGCAGTCGCAGTCCTGTTGGCACGGTCGCATGCTGATCGAGACCGCGCCGAAGGATAGTGCCGTTCCCACGCGCTGTCCAACGATCGCTTCGCCACACGCAGCGATCGGCCCGTCGTCATAGTAGCCCACGCCAAAGGCGCCGCGCTTGAAGACCTTGCCATCGATGGCGCCAGTCCAGACTGCCGACGCCACGAAGGTTGCAGGCGGCTCGCCGTTCGTGACGATCGTGCTGCTTTGCGCCGCTGCGGCCGCCGTCGCGAGAATACTCCGCCGTCCAAAGGCGGCTGGCACGTATCGTGCAGGTTGCAAGGACAGCCGTCGCGCGTGAGCCGCTTCGCGCGCAGGCGAGGCCGCAGTCAGTGCCTTTGGTGAAGACGGCCGCGAAGATGTCCTCGAAGGAGGAGGCGAAGGCGCCGCCGAGGAATCCGAGGCTCCCGTCGGCGATGGAGGCGGCGATGGCGGTGGCGAGCCTGAAGGCCACCGCACGCGACGTACACGGCGCGCCGGCGAAGAAGTGAGAGAACAAGATGAAGAAGAAGAAGAAGATCCAGGCGGCGAGGGCGGCGGCGATGAGGGCGGTGTGGGAAGAGTGTACGCAAAAGTACCCGCGAGAGTAGGCGCAATGAGCGCGACGGAAGAAGGAGGGTCAGCACGAGTAGAATCGGAGAAAGAAGCCGAGGAAGAAGGGGAAGATGAGGAGGAAGAAGAATAATAGTAAGAAGAAGAGTATGCAGAAGAAGAAGGTAGAACAGGAGAAGAGGACGGAGGAGATGGCGCAGACCATGCGACGCCAACGAGACCGGCAAGATGCGACAAGCAGATGATGGCGATGCCGATGTGAGAGATCGGCTGCCTGCGCTCGGCCTCGAGCGTCCTGCATTTCGTCACTTCGTCGTGGATCGCCGACGAGAGCTTGTCGCGATCGGCGTAAAAATTCTGCACGACGTTCGCACGAATTTCATGGACCTCGCGCGTGGACGGCATGGCAGCCAGTAACGCGATGAGCTTCGCCTCCCTGCCGCCGAGCACCTTGATGGCGTCGCGCGATGCCTGGAAAGCTCCAGGCGCGGCCGCCGTTTTGGCCATGAGCAAGAGCTTCTCGTGGTGCAGGCGCAGCAGTTGCGCAATGCTCCGGAGCTCCTTGTGCAGCTCGTCAGGGGTGACGTCCGGCTCCGAACGACGACAGGCTGCCACCCCCGCGCCGAACAGGAAAAGAAGAGAAAGGAGAAGTGCGGAGGCAACCAGGAGAGGCGGCCTCGCGGTGTGGTGAGGGCGAACCATGAGTCGCATAGTCCGGCCTCCGACAGAGGCCCCGCGGAGGTTTCCCTCGGGGGCATGCCATGGAGCGCGACCAGAGGACCCGATCCGATGTCCCCCCATCCCACCCGCGAGCGGCGCATCAAGGTGTCGATGGAGAAGAAGAGGAAGGTCAGTGGCGGCAGCCAAGAGAGGCGGCCCCGCGGTGTGGTGAGGGCGAACCATGAGTCGCATAGTCCGACCTCCGACAGAGGCCCCGCGGAGGTTTCCCTCGGGGGCATGCCATGGAGCGCGACCAGAGGACCCGATCCGATATCCCCCCATCCCACCCGCGAGCGGCGCGTCAAGGCGCCGAGGAGGAGGACGTAGGAGGACCTTCGAAACTGCAGAGCCCGAGCTCTTGCAGCCAGGCGAGAGCCAGAAGCGCAGCTCGCGCGCCGGAAGCCCTGGAGCGTCGCGTGCCAGAGCCACCGCCCACACGGGCGGGCCAATCAGCCAAGCGCCGCCTGCCATGAAAGAGATTGTACGCCATCGCACATTGCCTCGGCACGAATCGATCGGGTCTCCAGCGAGTGGCGCAGCGCGGCCCGGCGCATCCGTCGCCTTCGCAGAAGGAGCCGTTCGGTCGTTTACGGGCCGCTGCGCGCGCCCTGCCGGCGTCGACGAGCGTGTGGCAGCCAGACCGACGGCATTGATAAACTGCGGCAGCAGCGTCGCGCAGCCCTTCGGCAGTCGTGGCGGCGTGCCCCGATCCGACTTGATGCTTGAAGAAGGACCCAGAAGTGCGCCGCAGACACGCGGCTCGATGCAGCTCGTCAAGATACGCGCCGTGCTCATCGCGCTCACGCTCCGAGTCGGCCGCATCGCCCTCAAAGTAGCGCACGCGCTCGTCATCGAGCTCTTCTTCGAGCGTCGCGGCTGCTGCGGCAGCCGCCGCGGCTCGCTGCCACTCGCATTCCGTCGTCGGCAGCCCGCGATCGCCGTGCCGCACAGCGAGCCGCATCGCTCGTCGCGCTGCGCCATCCATGCGCGCAGCGCCCGATCGCCGATCTTCTTGAAGTCGGTCCAAAAAGAAAAACCGATCTCTTGTCTGACCCGAAAGGGGGTCAAACTCGTCATAGTAAGAAGGCTCGCGAGTGCTCCGCGGCGCGATTGATCGCCCGCCTGGGCCTCCAGCGCGGCTGGCATGCTCAGCATCGATGAGCCCCGCCGCGTCGCGCGGCCCGTCGCGTTCCTTGCCTCGTTGTTGGTCAGGAAGTGGAGCTCCTGCTGCAGCCGTGCCACTGCCAGACCATGAGTCGTTGCTGGAGCACAGCGCGCACTCCTCGAGCAGAACGAAGAACTGCCCACCGCAGCCGTCACCATCGTCCATCGAGCCACTCCACCAGCGCGCCCCCGATCATGAAATTTGGCCCCCCAGACCGGCTCGAAGTAGCTGACGGGTCCTTGTCTAGCCCAAAAGGGCGTAAAAGAAGAGGTAGGGGGTCCACGCGCGCGCGTGAAGAAACGCCGGCAGTTGCCCCCGATAGATGGGGTTCCCGGCGACCATTCCAGCCCTCGCGCAGCACCGACACCGCCCCGATTGTCGACGGGCCCGGATGCAGCATTGCACTGTACTGTACGAAAAGGGAAATGCCCGAAGTTGGTAGCTTGGGAGGTCGCGCCCTGGAAAAAGAAGTGGATGTGGATAATGCCCGAGAACGGGGCTGCAAGTCCCAGCCATTTGCGCCGCGGCGCGCCCACCCGATATCTCGCGCCCGTGGTGCGCCCCAAAGGCGGCGGCGCCGAAGGCGCCATTTTTGAACTTGACTTGACTTGACTTGACTTGACTGAATGCCTTGAGACGTGTGCACTCGGACATGTCGTCTGCTGCTCCCGCGCCCGCCGCGCCGGCGGCTGCTTCGGGCAAGCCAGAGGAGATTGTCGACGTGCTTGAGGTAAACCCCCGGCCCAGCCCCCCTGAAATAGCTGCGTCAGAGCGCCGCCCGCCTGGCTCGGAGGCTAATCCGTGCGCACCTCGTTCGCCCGCGCGCGCAGGAAGACGACGATTTCGAGGAATTTGAGCAGCAGGATTGGTCCAAGATATCGGAGGAGGTCGAGGACCCCACAATGTGGCAGGACGGGTGGGAGGATGACGAGGAGGATGAGAACTTCACCCGGCAGCTCCGGATGGAGTTGGCTACTTCTGAGAGCTCAGGGCCGCCGCCAACTACGCTTGCCGGCCTCCTGCCGACCGCCGCAGGCGCGCGGCCCATGCAGCAGTGAATGAATCTCGAGGCAAGGCATAGCAGCCACGCGCCCGCCCACGTCGTGACCGTGGACAGGTTTGTACTGCTGGCGCCAGCGCGCGCGGTGTGTATGTAGTGGCTAGTGTACTGTCGTGCTGGCACCTATACGACGATTCTCGAATTTATGTGAGTGCGACTGAGATCATCGGGCACACTCCCCACCTCTAACAACACGACCTGGCGATATCTCTCTGGGCAACTGTCGACCTGCGACGTGACCGCAACTCGCAGCGAAACGGCGGCAAAAGTACAAATGACGCACAACCATCGCGCCGCCGCGCACAACCGAACGCAGGGGGGGCAGTGGGACGAGAGAGAGTGAGAGAGACTGCAGCCGCCGCCCCCGGCTCCCGCCACGCTACGAGCCACCGCCAGACCCGCCGCGGTTCTTGTGCCGACTCTCACGACGAGTGAGAGCCCACGCGCGCGCACACAATCTTGCTCGACGCCGAACCTGGTGTGTATTGGCCTCGGCCAGTCCATGCCGTGTGGGCCGCCGCTCTGAAGGGTGCGCGTGCTCAGCGCGTCATCTCCTCTGCCTTGGGCGGCGCACCGGCGCTCCTGTAGACCCCCACTGGCTGGCCAATGGGCACCGCGACGGCCACGGGCTGCGGCTGCGCATACGCGATGGCGCCCATGGTGTCCTGCGCCGCAAGGCCACCGGCAACCGGCATACCCTCGACGACGATGTAGATGATCTGTCCGGCCTCGTTGTCCTTCTTGATTTCATGATGGACCTGCGCGGCCATGCACCCAGCGATCGAGCACGTGAACAGGTCGACGACGAGGTCCAGCAGCTGCGCAAAGTCGCGGGCGGGCTCGAAGAAGATGGCGACGATGTCAAGGATGCACGAGACGAGCTGGAGGCAGTTGGAGCACGCGATCAGCTGGTAGTCGCACGGGTCGGGGCGGATCTGCTTGGTGTGCATTATGTGGATGCGGGCGAGCGAGATCGAAAACACAGGGCAACAGAAGCCCTCGAGGCACAAGCCGAGGCCCGAGCCCTTGCAGCACTCGCGCGTATCGACGCAGCAGCACTGGCCGAGGTAGCCCTGGCAGCACGTGTAATCGTCCAGACCGTTGTGATACTTGTCGAGCACCGCCTTGCGCGCCCAGCAGGCGGTGCACCCAAAGGGTACGCCGATCATGGAGATGATGCAGCAGCACGGCTCTGCGCAGCACGCGTCCTTGAGTCCAACGCCGTAGCGGTGTGGTGAGTTCTGCATTTCGAGGAGCAGTTGGCCCTTGGTACCATTGAAGCCCTTGGAGCTGACCTTCTCCGGCGGGGTGTCGGGGCACAAGCAGTACACCATGGGGTGGGGGAAAGGCCGCTGTCCCGCATTTCACGAGAAAGGTTCGGTTGACGCACCCCGGTGCCGGAGTCGCCGACGAAGAGGTAACCGGCCTAACCGTACCCGCTTGGTATCCGTTGCACTATGGGGCTCCCAGCCCCTTGCGTTGCACCCTGTGTTACAACATGTGATG